CGAACCACTCGAGCAAGTCGCGACCTCTGAAAGTTGGGAGGATAAAACAAGAGAACATGAGTTCCGCAGGACTTTTTCTTCATGCCCCGATATCTCATAGTAACCTGCGGTTTGAGTCGATTTGACACAAAATTGTGTCAAGCACCCGAGTTCTTTGCGTCTGACACAAAAGAAGTAACACAAAGTAACACTCAACAAGGAAAGCTTCAGTTGCGTAAGAGTTTTTCTTTTTTCTTCTTTTACAAGGAAGTATTTTCTATTCCTATCTAAAAATTTCACCAATTTCCCTTTTGATTGCGCGAAAAATTAAGAGAAAATCTGTACCTACACTGAGAAAAAAAAAAACTCCGGCCATGGAAGCCGCACTTACGAGCTACACAAACATACCATACCATCCGCGTTCCGGGCTCAGAGGCCGAAAGTTCCGAGCGTATATACGCCCGCACCGTCCCTACAGCACCAAGAGCGATCGAAGCTACAACTTTATCACCCAGAATCCAGAACTTTCGGCCTCTGGGACCGGAACGGACAGTATGTCTATATAACCCGTAATTTTTTTTCTATGTATCCATACAGTATCCGTACAATTTCCTTTGGTATCAACCTTTCAAAATCCGTGCTTCTAGCCGTATTTTTTCGTGTGGTAGACACCCCGCGCTTGACGTTTCAACAATCGAAGCACGATTTTACGACGAGCACAAGCGACCCATCTCGGTGATTCCGGTGGTCAGACCCGGGATCGATTCTTGAAGCGATACCGAATGAGTTCGATCGATAACTCCCTATCTACACAATGCTACATATCGATCAAGGCATTTCGATAACGATTCAACAATCGGCCCGCAGGCAAAGTGGCGCATCTTCGACGAACTGGAGACGTTAACGCACGGACATGCGACGTCACCGCAAAACACGATCCAATCGCGCGCGGCGACTCTTCCTGCATCGGCCGGCTGCATGCTGCATGGGTGAGCGCAACTTTGTAGCCTTAATATTGTTTACGATCCAAGAAACGTCCATTAATGACACTTCTCAATACCACCTTTTCCTCGTTGCCACCCCTCCCCGCCCCGCCCCCCGGAGCATCTCCTGTCCCTTAACTATCCGCTGCTACAATGCGCGATAAATCAAGCGCGGTGCCCTGCCGCTGCGCCCGCTTTTATGACCGAATTCTCACTCCTCGGCTGCCTTATGACCCATTCGCAAAAGCTAATACGTGCGTCGGCTAAGGATACAGGGTCCTCCATGCGACAGGGTGCGCTATTTTCACGAATATCCCATGTGGCACTGCACTGGAAAAAATGGTCTCTTGGATCCGGAGTCCAGACTCTTAAAAAATTTGACAAGAAAAAATAATCTTAATTTGATGGGATTTTTGCTAGAATCAAAAGGAAATCCGCTTCAACTAAGAGTTTTGCCTTCCGATTCAAGTAAAAATCCGATTGAATCAAGAGTATTTTTTCTTGTCCTAAAAAAATTCTAAAAAAATTGACCAAAAAAATACTCTTGATTCAATCGGATTTTTGCTTGAATCGAAAGGCAAGACTCTTAATTGAAACGGATTTTTTATTGAATCAAAAGGAAATCCGCTTGAATTAAGAGCCTTGCCGATTCGAGTAAAAATCCGCTTGAATTAAGAGCCTTGCCGATTCAAGTAAAAATCCGCTTGAATCGATAGAGTATTTTTTGGTCAATTTTTTAAGGAGTTTTTTTCAGGGGCTCTGGATCCAAGAGACGTTTTTTCTTAGTGTGGACAAAGATGAACGGGACGCTTTTGCATCAAAAGGAACTATATTTATTCTGACATGAGCCTTATGAGACCCATGTGAATACATGCTTGACAGGGCTAATGTCAGAATGGATATGTTTTCTTTTAATTTAAATGCGCCCAGATGGTAACAGTACATAGTTCCCCGAACGGAGGAACGTAACTCCACCTCTGCAAATAAAATTAAGGTCTCTTGCATCTCTAAAATGTTCAAATTTCACACGAATGAACTTATTATGAGCTTCAACGTCTACAGTTAGAGTTTTAGAACAGTTGATTGACGAATAATTGGAGCATCACAAATTCAGTAATCGATTAATGTGCAATTTTAAAAAGGTAAGTTTTTAGAGTGACAACCTGTACCCTGGGATGCCCGCCTGTGTTTCTAGTTGTAAATCAGGATTTGTGCTTAATTTGAGAATCAAAAATCATGTGTGTTGAACATTTTCGGTGATAGATAATCACATTTCGGAACGATTTGAAAGTTTGAACGATACCCATAGATTTATCAAAAAGGATTAAATGGAGCAGAGAGAGAGAGAGAGAAAGATTAAATCATTAGATACGAATGATTCGCCTCACATTGATATCTTTCCAAAAACCAAAGATGTCTTCACATAAACCAAAGTTCTTCTAAAAATTAAAAACTGCAAAGATTCATGTGGCGATACTTACAACGACTTACATGAAGGATCACACTCCCTAAAATATCACCCTGTGAATGCATTGCAAGCACTTTGGTACTTACGGTAGAATGGGTGGGTATAAAAGCATGCTTGCATACACACCTACCGCTAGAATCATTTTGCGATGAGAAATCCCGGATGGCTGAACTATGGTCAATTATCCACAAACGCCAAATTAATACGGGTCCATTGGGCTGTTTCTGGCACTAATTAAGTATTCTCTTTGTAATTGTAGAAACCCGGCTTTAAGTATCTAGGTAATACTGACTGCATAAAAGTGTACGAAGGTACAATTACTATCCTCTGAGCTTTAAGCTGCCTTCCACCGAGCTTTGAGCTCCAGTGATGACAGACTTGATGTAAAAGAATATTCACTTTACTGCGTCCTTCCAATGGTTTCTTTCTCTCTGCCTTCTGGAAAATTGCTCTAAGAAACTTAAACATTTTTACTGAAGAAGGCTGTTCTTCCATGTAGATTGTGTAAGTATCGTTACCAATAAGTGAATCCATCCAAATGGAGATTTTTAGAAAAGCTTCGTTACACACGATGATATCAATTTTGACTTTTGGAAAGTTAGCAAAGCTAGATGAATGATCTAAATTGAATAATTATACAACTATCTCCGCTCATCTTAATCTTTTCCGAAAAATCCAAGTATCGTTGGGCGAGGAATTGGTTTTAGTGTTAAATCGTCAATTTATGATTATTTATCGATCTTTCAAGTTCGTTTTCAGATTTTTCAATAATTCTCCTCTAGTCTAATGGCACACTAATAAAATATTCGAAACTCAAAGTATAGACAATATTAAAAGCAATAAACACATCCAATTGTAATGCACATTTATTTCGCGGAAACTATAGCAAAACTTACATTGACTTGCACTGACTTTACTTGGGAATTCGAATCGTCAACCAACTATCCAGAAGACCCCTTGATCCTGCAGATATCTAACCACACCTGACCAAAAGTACCTAAACTTTACAGACGATGTCAAAGTTAAACGCGAATCCTTGCAGAATTTTTTCAGGATCAAAATAAGAGTTACTTCATATTTGTTCTAATATCTAAGTTTACAGTCCTGGTGGCTGAAATTTTTGGTCATAGAAATCAAACTTTAGTCTCGATGACCAAAATCATTGTTACACAAAATAACTCGTACTCTTCATCTTAGCTCATTTAAGAAGTTAAGTTCTTGCTGCTAAAAACTTCGATTACCTGTACCGTAGACTCTGATACTTCAAACGAACCAAACTTCAGGCCTTGCAACCGAAGTTTTTTCTCTGTGCATATACATCACCAATGCGTTTCCAGTCGAGCACAGCAGAGTATAACACATGGACGTATTTCTACCAAACGGAACTATGTGTATTAAGACATGAGCCCTGGGTCCCATAAGAATATACGCATAACAGGGCTCACACCATTATGCACATAGTTCTGTTCGGCAGAAATACGTCCAAATAAGCAAACAGAAACCTCAGTGTAACTCAGAGTCCACTCGTGGGAGCCGCTCGGTAGCCGCGCGCACCGCAGCAAAACAACGCAACACCACCCAAAACCCCGCACACATACGCCTTTTTCGGCGAGACTCGAAGTTCCCAGCTCAGAATCCGGGCGTCCGACAGGATGATGGACGTGCAAACGAGATGATGGACCGATCAGCGGGGGCGAGGGGGCGAGGGGTGGGGGGAGGGGGGCACGACGCGAGGGTTGGGGGCCATGATTGTGGGGCAATTAGCCCGAGCCGCGCGTTTTTCTCAAGGTCGCAGCCTCCGACGATAAAGCGCTTCATCACCGACTTAAATTGCTGCCGATTCGGAAATGTCGCCCGGTCGCCGGGGTCCCCGATGACGATGAGGTCATCAAGCCGGAAAACCCTCCCGAAACGGCCCGAAAACGGCGGCTGGAAACTGGTCCTTGAGCGACCCTGGAATATGGGGCATCGCAAGTCATCGCGTTGGCAGGATTGAGAAATTCTTGCGCGGATGATCCAGCAGATTTCTCACTCGGGATCCTCGGCGTATGTATACGTGTCGGGATGTGTGTGTGAGTGTGTTGGCCAATGAGTCCGAAATTGGGACTCGCTAAATGGCAGTGGCACCCGAACACGCTTGTCGTCCTTCTGTTTATCGGGTTTCGACCGAAATTCGAGGATCGTAACGAGCAGCCGACAGGTGATTGTTATTATGAAACTGGGGAAATTTTTTCATCCTCCCGTTGCCAAGTAGTTCATTAGGACCGAGTTCATTAGAAAGGAACCAACCCACATTTTCGAAAAAATTGAGTTAAGAATGTTTTTGAGGTCCACCACTCACTTATTTTCTCCTGCCAAAATCAGGAAGTCGAAAAAAAGAAAGTAGTTAATGCAAAGAGGGGTTGAAGTTATTTTCTACATTGAGCCTTATGCAGGAATAAAACTTCAAACCTATTTTTCTCCGTTTCAACTTAATGCGAGTTGGTTCCGTTCTAATGAACTTGGTCTATCCAGGGCCCGCATCTCGTATCTGTGAGCTGATTACAGAGTAATTAGAGACTTAAACTTACCGAAAAAGGGCGGGGGTTGTGATGGAACTGGGGAGTCTGGATCATGTCGAAGAAAAGTTCGAGCTCTTCGTGGCACTCCTCGAAAAAATCCTTCTCCTTCCTCGTCACGCTGCACGCTTTTCCTTTCGCTTCATCGGAAACGTCTTTCTTGAAACTTTCTTGCGCGACCTGCAAGGATAAAACACCAACAGGTTAAGAAGGTCAAGGTTGTGCACCTCTGTGCCATGCCAAAACTTGAAAATTTTCCACGACAATCACAAGGAATTTGGCCATTCGCAAAAACACTTTTACAGGGAGAATATACAATGAGCTAATAGATTTCACTGACTTCAGCGAAACACTGCTTTCAAAGTCATTTGACTTTTCTTTAATTTTCCTATCTTTCCCTGATGTTTCCACGTTGCCGTAAATTCCCTTAATTTCCTCAACATTCCAGACCACCACAAACTTCGGACTATGCTGACTTCTGATAAACGCTGCTCGCGAAATTCCCCGACTTTACGTATGAATTCTCTAACTTTCCATAAGCTCTTCAGGTCGCCATGGATTCTCCGATTTTCTAGGTTTGCCAGACCACCGGAAACCCTGTGACTGTATAAACTTATGTTTGTCTATACATCCTCGAATAAACGCGAATCCATTTCACGTTGCATAAGTACCACAATTCCTGCTCATGGGAGCTCATTATGCCTACATTTTTAAAGAAAGGCGAAATCATTGCAAGGAACGGCTATTAACGCAACCCTATGTCGCTTTGATAGCGAAGGGAGTCGTAAGTTCAAAAATGAAGTTTTGAGAGAATGAAGAAACGTGAGAAAGATGTCGTGGAGGTTGCAAGCTAGTCGATGTGAAGGAAATTTTAAGGCTATCGTGGGCAGGGCCGGATTAAGGGGGTGGCCACATAGGCCGCGGCCCATGGCGGCAAATCAAGGAGCCGGCAAATTTTGCAATTTTTTTAAATGTAGGTATAATAAAAAAAATCGGATTTAGAAAAAAAAATTACAAACGAGAAAAGGCGACAAAATCTCTCATTTACTGAGAGTATAGTAATTTCCTATTTTGTCGTCTCTTAGTGATATAAGAGACAGTTCCTTCAATTAGTCGAGTTAAGAGTGAAACGAAACACGCATTTTGGCCTGGAACGGCGCGGCGCGACTTAGAGAGAAACGATAACGAGGACTTGAGATGAAAAGGAGAAGCTCTCGGCGCGGCGATCGGCATGTAACTTATATTAGCGCCTACAAGAGTGCACAAATACTTCTCGCATTGCATCAAACACAGTGTGGTCATTGCGGTCAGCGTGAAACGGATAGCGCCTACAAGAATGAATGAATACTTCACGCATTGCGCCAAACACAGTATGCGGTCAGCGTGAAATGCATAGCGCCTACAAGACTGCGTGAATACTTCACGCATTGCGCCAAACACGGTGCGGTCGGCGCTACGTGGCGGCGGAAGTTAAAATCATTAAGCCAAATTTTGTGTTTGTTCTTTCATAATTTTTTCGTTCATTTCTTATGAATGGAAGGCCTTGTCCATTAGAGATAGGTTAACGAAACTTGACTTTCACGTAAAGTTCCGTGACCTTTTGCTAGTAGTGTTGACAGGGCTTTCCGAAAAAAATGTTGTTCAACACGAGTAGACGCGTCTTATGCACCCCTCCCCCGCTGGCACGTTCACTTGCTGATTTTTATTGATGTTTCAAAACGAATGAGAAGGGGGCGGCAAAATACAGGCGGCCCATGGGCGGCAAGAAGGAAAATCCGGCCCTGGTCGCGGGGGTGGCATATTCATAGATTTGAACACTGAAAAAAAATTCTCGGCGTTTTTACCAAGGTCCGTTGGTACTTTTACCATCTCACTTTTTATTACTAATTATTGGTACTTTTACCAAGACAGACTGGTAAGCTTACCTAAAAACCGGTATTTTTACTGTTTCTTTCAGGTAAGAATACCACTTTTATTGCTAATCAATTCCCGGTAACTTTGTCATTTTATCTCGGTAATTCTACCACAGTCGATAAAAAATGTTGGCGTTTCTACCAAGGTCCAGTAAAATTACCGAGAAAGTTCAATAATTTTACCGAGATTTCTCGGTAAAATTACCAATTCCATAAATGGTAATTTAACCAAGAAAAAACTGGGATCAAATAGAACCCTGAATTCTTGGTAATTTTACCCTTTTCTTAGTATACACCGAGATTTTTTTTTTCAGTGAAGGAAATTTGGAAGATATCGTGGGGTTGCATATTCATGGATTTGAAGGAGATTTAGAAGCTATCGTAAAGTTGCATGTTTATGGATTTGAAGGGGATTTTAGGGATGACTCACCGGATTGGCGGAGGGGGAGACGTCATCCAAGCTGACGAGCTGGAGGGTCTCCTCGAGGGCGAACTCGTTGCTGAAGGCGAGGGGCTCCTCAGCGTCGGGGGCGCCGGCGAGGAGCGGGTAGGCCTCGGCCTCGCTCTCTCCCTCCTGCTCCTCCTCGGGCTCCTCTTTGATCTCTACTTCTTCCTCCAAGAGGTGTTCCTTCTTTACTTCCTTCCGAGCTTTCTCCTCTTCCTCCCTCTCTTCACTCTCGACAGCTTTGAGCCTCTCTTTCTTCGAGACCAGCTCGTAGTCACCTGAAACAAAAGATCGGGGGAAGGAAATTAGATAAGGACGAGGGATTCGGACGCAATCAGTAAAGCTGTCGTGGGGTTGCATATTCACTGATTTGAAGGCTATTCTGAAGAATTCGTAGGGTTGCACGCTCATGGATTGCCAGTGGAGAGTGCCATTGGCTGGTGAGCCAGTCGGACGCAGCCACTAACAACACATCTATCGCGGGCGATTTGCAATCGCCGGAAAATTGCAATCCATTTGCAAGCAAAACAGAAGATAAAAAAAGAAAATTCAAAATTTCAGAGATAAAGAAACAAGATAGAAATTCTTATTACTATGTTTGGGACTAAAAAGACTTTTTTTATTCTTGAATGCATGGTACCGGCAAGCACACTTGCGATCACGTGTAATAAGGTAAAAAACCCAAGTTGGGTTTGGTTTTGATAGGCAACTAAACTGACTGTTAGGTAAGGCGGAAAGCATCACCAGGATTTGAAGGGGCTTTTGAAGTTCTCCATCAACGAATTCTCCATTGAGCCGATGCGCATTATTGCAACTGGACGAGTTAAAATGTACGCGGCTTGCGAATTTCCGGCGATTGCTAACTGTGTGTAGATTTTTCTTAAAAAAATAAATAAATAAAATAAAATGAAAAACGCCTCTCCTACGCCAAATCACCTTTAGCAAAATCACGATTTGGCACGATTTTCAAAGAAAGAATATTAAAAGACTGTTAACAATACAACTTTTATGGCCGTATCCTTATTTTCCTGCGCCCAACCGATGAGAATTGAGCAAAACCAGTAATGCTGATTTGGCAACACTTTCTAACCCAGTAGATGCTGAACACTCTGATAGTTGGTGTATAAAACAGTTGGACGTAATAGGCAGATGAGATTTAAGTAATAAACTGACTACCCACGAGAGATACCCTAAATTTAGTTATTTCTCTTTTAGCCTGTAACAACTACCCGTTTCAACCCATATGATCCTTCCATTTCTCATTATCCTCTTTGTCTATAGCTTTGTCTATCAATTTCAAATCAGCGAGCAAAACCGACTACGGTTCGCTGGGATGAAAGTTACATCCCCCGCCCCGCTTTTTTTCAGTGCTCGGTCATGACGGTAGATTTTAAATAATTTTCCTGCGTTTTTTCCTCAATGCTCGAGGCAAAGTGTGGCAACCCCGAGCTGAAAAGAATGAGGGCAGTTAAATTTCCAGCGCAATAGCGAGGCCAGCGCTGTTTCTCCGCGAAAAAAAATTGGAGTTACTCAATCGCCTAGACGACCGATCGTGCGTCGGGAGGGGCCGATATGACAACCAGGAGACCAATACAATCGGATCAACGACCTCTACGGGAAAATTTCTGGGCTACGTCCGGATCACGAAAAATCAGATAGGATGATCCCTCGAGTTTTTAGTTGGCGCTGAACGATGGACCACTACGCACAGGGCCAAAATTGAATCGGTGAGATCGAAAACACACCAACTCGGTAACTCGAAAATGCTCAATTTTCATCAAAGACAGTCAATTTTTATAAAGTTCATGAAGTTAGCGTATCTGTTCCAACTTTGACCTATAAAGTGTCCTTAAGTGTTTGTATTTCGGCACCAAAAATGGAAAAAAAAACACAATGGATCTAGAGTCCAGACTCTTGAAAACATTAACAAGAAAAAGGACTCTTGATTCAATCAGATTTAAGCTTGAATCAAAGGGAAATCCGTTCAAATTAAGAGCCTTGGTTCTTGATTTAAGCTTAAATCTGATTGAATCAAGAGTACTTTTTCTTGTCGATGTTTTTAAGAGTCTGGACTCTAGATCCAATGTATTTTTTTTCCAGTGAGGGAACGCAACTCCACTCCCAGGTTGCTAAATTGACTGAAACAATTCAATTTTAACAAGAATGTACCAGGGCAATTTTTGTTCAAAATTTTATTCATTTTCGCACGAGATCGGAAAAAAATCAGTGAAATTTTTCTTTAGAAATGCCCACGATTCTCCTGTTAAAATTGCATTTTGCGAAGGGTATTTTGGCAATAATGAAATGCAGTTTCGTTCTTTCGCGGGGGGAGGGGGGGGGGCGACGACGCCTAATTAGGTGACTAATAGGCACGCCTCCTGAAAGAGACGCACATCTGATGAGGTAACACACGGCGGGAACAGCGGAAACTGCCCATTCCGTATTGTCAGTGGCGATTTTGCAAGATGGCAATTCGGCATTTCCTCCATTTAAATCCATTGAAAAAGTCGATTCTCGATTTGGCAAGCTGTTTCGCCAAGAATCGATCGTTTTACATACATTTAAATGGAGAAAAAACAGTGTTGCCAACTATCCAGAATCGCCATTGCGTGCTGCCTAATGCTTTCTCATTTTTTATACTTTCAATAGAGCATTAATCTACTTTGCGCCTTCAAGCTTGCTGTGGATTCACCCTAAATTACAAAAAAATATACCCACGAAACTTCAAGTTCCAGTGTTGCTGGGTTTTTTTATTAAAAAAATAAAACATAAGAGAAAATTAGGCAACGTCTGGAGGGTGATTATTGAAAATATAGACAAACGGAAAACTAGCTTTTTTATATGTGAAAATGGGTGGTTGTCATAGACCACCGGGGGAAACAATAGATTAACTATTGAGCCTCTCGTGGGTTGCCGTTAGGTTGTCCATTTCTTACCCCGTTTGTCTACTACAATCGCTCGCCCCGCTTCCACTGATAGGATCGCTCTATTATCCCTTTGTCTACCAATTTCAATAATCAGCCCGCTGATGTATAGTTGAGCTGATCCCGATAAAAATCATCCATATATTTTCTTGATAATGAATTATTCGTGTCAAAACCTTTTCCCTGGAAGTTTCGATGGAGGTAAGAAAGAGGAGGCCGAGAATTTTTATCCTCAACAGAGAGGTCAGAGAAATATTCACCGAGTTAATAGAGAGCCTTTGTTCGGGGTCAAAGGTCAAGCGTCGACGGTGAAGACGTGGAGTCGTGCCGCATGTCCGTTGTCCGAGAAGATCCCGTATCCGACTATCGTTCGCATTTTTACCCATCGACATAATGAAGCTCACAATGAATATCCATATTCATGCGGCGCTCGAATCCATTAACCGTGCCGCCGGAGGTAAATTCCACGTCCAAACAGCGAGCAGGGAACAAAACTACAGTTGGGAGAACCGAAGTTTTCGGCCATGGGAACCGTACTATTCGGTTTAGATTTAGATAACCGAGGTCTTCGAGGAAGAGAACAGTCTTCATGCGTGTTACTTAACTTCGGTCAACTGAACCGAACGTCGATTCAAGGGGGCAACGAAGTTTTTGGTCATAGGAACCGAACTGTTCGGTTTAGATTCTGGTAACTGAGGTCTTCGATGAATAAGATTCCGAACGTCGATTCAAGGGGGCAACGAAGTTTTCGGTCATAGGAACCGAACTGTTCGGTTTCAATTCAGGTAACTGAGGTCTTCGATGAAGATTTCCGTCTTCGAACGTGCGACAAAACTTTGGTTACCTAAACAGAACGTCGTTCCATATGAAACACCGAACCGTAAGAGACCATACGGGAGGCTTGTGGTTCCGTTCAGAAAACCGAGGTCTTTGGTAAGAAATACAAGTCTTAAAATGGGTAACAAAATTATGGTAACGTGGACCACAGATCTGTTTCCAAGACTGAAAATTTCGGTCACCTGGACGGAAAATTATAGCGTGTCATTTAAATTGAAGTGCAGCCCTGACAACGATTTTTTTTCGAAGTTCATAAAAGATGTGGATAGTTCAGGCAACAGACACGATGCAATAAAGAAGAGTGAAATAGGACAAGGAAAAGAAGGAGAGAAGGAAGAAGATGTAGAAGTAGAAGAAAAAAGGACGGGGAGAAGAACAAGAAGATGAGGAAGAAGGAAAATAATAAAAAGAAGATGAAAAGGAAGCAGCAGAGAGGAAAAAAGAAGAATGGGAAGAAGCAGAAAAAGGAAGTAGTAGAAGAAGAAGAGAAATAAGAGGAAGTAGCAGTACAAGAAAAGAAGAAAAAGAAAATAAGAAAAAGAAGTGAAAGATACGAGAGGAAAAGATGAAAGAGAAGGAGAGGAAGAAGAAAAATGAGGATGAAAGATAAGAATAAGAGAAGCAGAAATGAGAACTTCTCAAAAATAAAATTAAGAGAAAAGAAATTCAATAAAGGGCGTAACTGCGGTTGACACCCCACGTGTCTCCATATACTTTTTGTGTCCCTATGACGGGCCAAGTACTAGACATACGTCATACGCGAGGCGGTCTGGATTTCGTGGACCGGAATGACTGACCTTATGGGAGTTGGATCACGGACGGCCCCTTTGCATTGGCGGTGCGGGATGTGAATGGAAAGCTGCGGAAGATGGCGAGTGATGGGGCGACGCACAGTGGAACGAATCGATCACGTGAATTGGACATGACATTTAGAACTAAAACTTGCAAATTTTGCCGTTTATTTCATTTTATTGTATATTGAAAGGGTGGGAAATTTTACTGGAGAGCCAATGAAACTACTTTCAAGTCTTGGCTTTTCGTGGTAGGACAAGGATGTGAGCTTTCAAAGTTTGTCCGACAACTCGTGTTGGCTCGTTCCTGTGTGCGACGCGACGATGCGGTGGAGGGAGAGTCGAGAGGGGCACGCGAGAAATATGGAGAACAGCCGCGGATGCGATGCGGGTCCCGGATCAAAATGGCCGAGGGCCGCAGATTTGATTAACTCTACCAGCATGAGTTCTGCACGAATAGAAATCGGCTTACCGCGCCGGACCTTTGTAATGCCGTGTTAAGGAAAAACGCCGTATGAACCTTCAGGCGTTGTCAAATTTCGATTGATAAAATATGAATTTTTAAGTAAACTTATGAACATTTTTTTTCGAAATTTTCATACGAAGTTGTTCGCAATTTCACCTGAAGTTCCTTAAAAGTCCATAGAAAAATACTCATAACTTTCCTCAAAAATAAAACATGATTTAAGGAAATTTGGCATCTCTCGAATGTTCATGCGGCGTTCT